GACAACAGGAGTGCCAGTGAAGGTGGTGACAAGAGTGGCAGTTGTGTTATCCTTGTCAAGGATATGTGGAAAAAGTAATACAATAAGAAGCATTTTAGTCTTTTCAAAGCATTATCCAAGTGATTAGTGGCATCTATCACGGGGTGAATAGCACGACCCACCCCATCCTTTGTTGAAAGGTTTCGTCAACACCAGTATCGGTAGTTTCGCAGGTCTTTGGACAATTTAGTCAGGAAGAAATCAGCAAATATTTGACAACCAATCTTTGCCGAACACTTTTATTTGGAAAAAGATAACTTTCATCCTTTGGTCCAAGGCTCATGGGCAATATTCTAACCTTCTCCTTACTGTCTTTTACAGAAATTGGGACGTCATGGTCATGGGATGAGTCCTCTTTTAACTTCCTATTATGTTTTCTAAGTTAATATGATTTTTACTTTCTATTATGTTTTCTTTGGCTTCAGTTGGATAACTTATCCACTGTTCTCTTTGTAATGTTTTCCTCTTTTCCTCAATAAAACTTCTTTTTCTATCACAAAAAGAAGCACTACCCGGCGGATGGTGAGTAATTTCCTACCCTACATCTAAAAGAATTTACTCTCAAACATCAGGGAAGGTAGGGTAAGGAACCTTACCCATCACCTATCATACTTTGCTCCATGCATCAAACATAGCAGTAGTTTGCCATTCAGCCTTTGTTTCGAGAGAGGGATGGTGAGTAATTTCCTACCCTACATCTAAAAGAATTTACTCTCAAACATCACGGAAGGTAGGGTAAGGAACCTTACCCATCACATATCATACTTTGCCACATGCATCAAACATAGCAGTAGTTTGCCATTCAGCCTTTGTTTTGAGAGAGGGAAAGGGGAGGTTAAGTGGAAAAGAATGTAGTATAACAGAAAATATTTTACTTGTTTGAAAGGAGGAAAATAAGAATGAGTTAAATATTTTCCTTGCTTGGACAGAGGGAAAATGGCAAGAAAAGTAGAAAGTCACTAATGTCCCTAAGCCAACAACAGAAAATGTGTTTCTCTTAAAAACATAATAAGATAGTTAAAAGGTTAAATAACAAGGACATTACGATGATAAGTCTAAAAACGATATAAACCACTTAGGAAATGATATTAATTGTATATTTTAACAATGTCATAATTTAATAAGATTTCTCGCGTTTTTACAAATTACTTTTCTTGCCTTCTTGCAAATCCTTAAGGCCACCAAAAGAGAAAATAATTTTTTTCCGCAGAAGAGATTGGACGATTTCTAAGATTAAGACAGTGGTCTGCTTCTATTCCATAACAAAGGATTTCCAAACAAAATTGTTAACTTAAATTATGTTATGCTCCTTTCCCTCCCTTCCACTTTCCTAGAAAAAGCCTTATGTAGGGAGACCAAAGTTAGATGATGGACCCATTTTTGGTCACAATCATGTACTATATACATTTCAAGAATCAAATTTCCTCGAAAATTTGAAAGTAAATTTGCAGCCTCAGGTCATCATTACCTTTCCAATGGCATTGCTTAATTTGGCAAAAGCTTCCACTTGCAGAAATTCGGGTAATAGCTGGCACCAAAATACCATAATCAACCGGAATAAGAAGACACATGAGAAAAATCAACATTATCAATTACTTACCTCTGTACTTGAGGCTGCATAATTTGATAATCTATCCATTAGTTGAGATAAAACTGTTTTGATGTCTACTGTGGGCTGAGAATTAAATGATAAGACAAAGGGGCAATGGAACAAAAAAAGTCAATAGGTGGCAATATTTCTTTGAAAAATACAAAATCAAAGAAAACAAAAGAATCTAAAATCCTAACATTACAGAGCACTCATTAATGGAATGCTTGAATGATAACACATTTACAAGTGCACAGGAAAAATAATTAAGCACACAAATCCTTTTCCTATTGTGTTTTATCTCAACTATTCAAGTGGAGAACAGAATAACTAAACTTCTGTTTTCCTAGAAACAAAATGTTAAATAAACCTTCTTTTTCAGAGAAATTTTAAATCCTTGTGATCGTTTAACAAAAGTCAAAACCTTGATAAAAAACATCTCAGCATTGAGAAGTCCTAAGTGAAAAAAAAACAAAAAAAAAACATTGTGATTTAGAAAAGTAGGAAAAAGGAAAAAAGTTCAATCCACAGTCATAGAGATCAAGAAAACAACAACAACAATCATCAGGTTATCCTAAGCGCTCAATCAATCAATGAGAGTAGTATTACTTCTATTTATAAGCAGTCTGAATAGCAATGAAGAATCACCCATGTATTTGTAGTATGTCAAAATAACCTACTATGTCTAGGATACCTAAATAGGAAAAAAATAACAAAATAAATTTCTAATTAGATAGAAATATTACCCTTGTAAAGTACATACCCTA